CAGGGCGGGGGCCAGGGGGTCTCACCCAGGGTGATGCTGAGGGCCAGGGCTGTGTGGGCGAACTCCAGGCCCTCCTGGGGCGCCTTCAGCTCAGCCAGCAGTGCCACCAGCTTGTTGCACAGCCGCAGCTCCGCCTCCTGGTTGCCCGTGGTCACCGCCAGGGGCAGCGCCCGGTCCTGCCACACGGGACCGGGGTCAGGCCTCCCGCAGCACCCACCACGCCCCTGCCCTCCTCGGAGCTACAGAGGTGTGCTGGGGACCTCCCCCGCCGACCCACCGGGCCTCGACACAGCCCTGTTCCCCGAGAAGAGGGCAGCCCAGATGTGGGGCTGGGGCTGGAGAGCGACCCGTGGCCAGCAGCTGCCCCGCACAGCCTCAGGCCGGCCCTCCCACCTGGGCTGAGGGCCTGGCCGGGGGACCCAGGGCTCTGATCAGCTGCAAAAAGGCCCCCTCTTCCTAGGCCGGAAGCCGAGCCCGTCACTTGTGGGCCCCGGAGCGAGGGAGAGGCTGCCCTCCCTGGGGGGCATGGGCCCTGGGCCCTTGACCCAGGATGCCTGCTGGTGCCTCTCTGAGCCTCGATAGGAATGGCACTGCCCACCCAGGGCTGTGTCTTGGTCTCAAACATCCCGTCCCGGTCAGGGGTGCGGCTGAGGTCATTCCCGGGGGAACCAGGAACGAAGAGAAGGTCTGGGCCGGTCTGCCTCCGGGCACCAGGCCTCGGTCCTGCCACCGCTGGGCCCGGGCCCCCAGGGCACCTGCCTGAGACCCCGCCCCGCCCCGCCGACCCACAGCTCACCCTGTAGAAGGACACGGCTTTCTCCCGTTCCCAGGTCCCGTTGAAGAAGATGTCTCCGGCTGCCTCGAACAGATCCAGCCCCAGGTTGGGGTCCCCCGTGTACAGGGCCGCGTTCTGCGCCACCTGTGAGGGGCAGACGCTCTCTCGTCAGAGACCCACGCTGACGAGGCGGCCACGCCCACCCAGGCGGACCCCAGCCAGCCTCCTCTCCCGGTCCCTTGCCTTTGGGGCCATCATTGCCCGCCATGAGAGGGTGATACTTTTGTGCACCTGTGGACCAGGAAACACCTGGATGCTTAAAGCCCAGGCAGGGACCCAGAGGAGCTTGGGACGGAGCCTGCACCAGCCTCTGCCCCATGCCACAGGCCCTACACACAGACCTCAGCACCTCCTGCATCCTCAAGGCTCCGGTGGCATCCATACCTCCGTCCCCGCGACTTTCCTCTGGGCCTGTGGCAAGCCCTGACCTAGCCGTGTCCACCTGCCTCTCCCACCAGAAAAGTCAGCTGCACGGGACAGGGACGGGAGCCACGGGCACCTCTGTCGGGTGCAGGGAGATAGCAGGTGCCCTGCAAATACCTGCGGAGTGAACCCCCGTGGGGTCCAGGCCCTGCCCGGGACCAGGCGGACCCAGGTGGACCCAGAACGTGCCGGGCTCCCATGCACCCCTGGGCCTTGACACCTGCGAGTCCTGCTGCAGGGACAGCCCTCTTCCACCAGGCAGTCACTCACTCTGCCCATCCTATGACTTCAACCAGCCTCCCTTCACCCCCAGGCTGCGGGGGCCCACCCTGGCTCCTTTCTGCATCACCAGGCCCTGACACAGCCCGAGACCCCACATCAGGGCTGGTCACTGATGGGTCTGGTCCCCTCTCAGCCACGAGCTCCTGGTCCTGGACTTCAGCCCTTGGCTTAGAGGAGGTACACAGCGGGTGCTCCAAAAGGAAACCTCACAAGGCTCACGCACCACCCAGTTTTTTCCCATCGTGTTTGGAAAAGCATCTGAAAACAGAGCTGCTGTAAAGGGATCTGTCACTGCTGCTCGAGCAAGTTCCTCTGGGCCAAACAGAGTGGGCATATCATTTGCACATTTATTGAACCCTTGCTGTGTACCAGGAGGCACTGGGAAGGGCTCATATCTCTACCCCCAGGTTCTGCGGGTGGTTTTCAAAGATGCTGGTCCTGGAGCAGGCTGTGAGGGAACCGGGGGTGGGAGGGGAAGTCATACAGCAGGTGCTCGGCAGTGGCTTTGAAATGGACGGGTGGATGGATGAAATGAAAGGTGGGTGGGTGGATAGATGGATAAATGGATGAAGGGGTGGGTGGGTGGATG